CCACCGACTCACAAACATCTCAGTGAATGTACCCTAATGACCATGCAGCAGGAAGAAGAGAACTCCACATGTTGTGAATTGGCCAGGCAATATCGTTATATATACTATTATATTCAGCATTGCGCGTGTAAAAAGAATCCCAGCATAAAAACAGCACCGCTCACTCAGCGGGCATGATGACGTCAGCTACTGTTTTTATGCTTGGATTCTTTTTACACTTGTGAGTAATTCTTTTAAACTTTAATAAATTGACACTGCATGAATGAGTCACACTGTGTGGAAGATCTTTCTTCCTCTGCATGGTCATTATGGTACATTCATTGAGATGCTTGTGAGTTAGTGGGAGATCGCTGCAGAGGTTGGCCATTATTACCTTCCATAGGATTTCGTATGAGTACACAAGCACTTCTGACCTCAGATGATTAGGGGTCATGTCCATTTGGTAAAAAGTCATTTTATAAATTTGGCGGTGGTTTGAAAATCACTTCATTAGTCACATATCAAGATTCTTCTCACAGCTTTATGATTGGACTTCAACATGGACTTTCACTATTATAATAATAATTTGGTATTTTGGTTTTTCAGGAGTTTGAATATAATTTTTGTTCCCAAGAGTAATGTACTATTCTAAGAGATGTGCTGTTCACTTTATTGTATTTGATTATTTCAGTTTGTTTGATCATAACACAATATTTAAAAGAGAAGTTTGGGATTAAAAAAAAAAGCCAGTGATACTCACCTAGGTGGTTGCAGCATTGCTCTCCCACTGCCTCTAAGACTGAAAACTGAGTGAATAAAGACCACTGATCACTTAGTTCTTGGGTCCTCTCTGAACAGAGAGCGGTGACTGTCAGGCAGCAGCTCTCTGCTCTGCTCTGCCCCTCCACAGCTCACTAGAATCCAGGCTATGGAGGAGCGGGAGTGGCTGGCTCAGACTCTCAATGGCGCACTCAGAGGCTGAGACAGCTGCTGGTCCAGGCATCTGGGTGGATCCCGACATCTAAGTCGGGATTCCTCCTTAGTCTGGAGTGGCTAGGTCAGTGGTGGGCAACCTTTTTTTTCAACTGAGCCAAATCTCGCCAAAACCACAATTGAAATTTTATTTTGAGAGCCACATTTTTAAAACTGAAAATACATCCCCCATATAGTAATTCATCCCCCATAGTAAATTCATCCCCCATAGTAATATAGTAATTCATCCCCCATAGTAATTCATCCCCCATATAGTAATTCATCCCCCATATAGTAATTCATCCCCCATATAGTAATTCATAATTCCCCCATATAGTAATTCATCCCCCCTATAGTAATTCATCCCCCATAGTAATTCATCCCCCATAGTAATTCATCCCCCATATAGTAATTCATCCCCCAGAGCCACTGGCTCTGAGGAAGAGGTACAACCTCGAAATGCGTCAGCCACCAGCTCTCCAGAGGCTCACAGTCCCCCACCAGACCACCCACAGGGGTTCCTGAACCACTCAGCATTATCTTGCGACATGCTTCCCATTTTAATTTGATTTTCCATTTCTTTGTAAGTATTTTTTTATTAAATTTTCATTCAAACATTTTTTAAGGTAATGCACTAGGCCTGTGTGCCCTCTCTTTGTTTTCTATATACAGTTCTCTTTGGATTTCCCTGGTCCATTTAGGACAGCAAAGCCTGCATTTCTCTAACTCATGTGGGGATACTAATATTGTGGAGTCCACAGTTCAGCGCAGGAGCACATGCATTCGGTTGCTACAGATCAGATTCTCAGTGGCACACTGGGAGACCGAGCCAGCTGCCGATCAGGCATCTGGGTGGATCCTGACATTATTGTCAGGATCCTTCCAGAGCCTGGAGCAGCTCTGAGATATCAGCCAAAAGCAGGCTTTAGCTTCTCTTTAGACTCGGGATCACAGCAGAGTATAAGTAAGTGCGCTTCTGTTACCTAGAAGAGAAGTATGACCAAAAAGCTTTGACCATACTTCTGTTTTAATTATCTTTTTTTCTCTGCAGAGTGGGTTACTGACCATGTTCTGTTCCACACGAAACTGGAGAACCTTCGGTGCCATTCTGTCCATTTGACAGATTTCAGTAATAGAAGAACTACTAAGCTTGTTTACATGGAACATGATCCCAGGTAAATCCAGATACCTACAGCATGCAATGGCAATTAATCAGTTCAGAATTTGAAACGATAGTCCTTTTTTAATGGTGCAAGATATGACTGCTGTAGCCTAGTTCCCTAATTTTAGGCTAAGCCCTGCCAGTGGAGCAAAGGCTCACCTCTTTGTGGTCCAAAGAGAAATTCACAATGTCTAGTAAAGGAGCTGTTATTGGATAAAGTGAAGGCCAGGGTTCACCTCTTATGTGTTTGGAGGTAACACCAAAGTCTATAAACCAAATGAAACTAATATTAAGAAGATACAAAAAAAGTTTAAGGTCAATAATGATGCCATGTGCCAGCTATTATGAGGCATTTTTACTTTGCCCGTACAGCCAAGCAGATATACTGACAGGTCTGCATGGAGACCTGCATGGCACCAGCGGCAATCTGCTGATCGCTGGTGCAATGCTTTACAGGCTCCTGCAGCCAAAAATAGTAAATGCACATTTTTGTTACCTGCAAAATAATGTACATTTATTATTTATGGTCAAAAGGTGAACTTATCCTTTAATGTGTGTTGCTGTGTGAAGGAGGCACATAGAAAGCAATTGTTTTCTATGTCTCTTTGCAGTGACCTACGTCCAGGGGCGGACTGACCATTCAGAAACTCGGGCGCTGCCGGAGGGCCCAGGGTCAGTAAGAGGCCCCATGAGATGCCTCTGGTACCTTTTCATAGGCTTTTTTTGGGTGTGGTTTGAGTGTGGGTGAGGACACAGAGGCCCCATGATCCCCTTTTTTCCAGGGGCCCCATGAGTTGTCAGTCCGCCCCTGCCTGCAGAGTACTGTGACATCATGTTACTCATGTGCTTCAGTCAATAAAGGATATAATAAATTATATTTATCAATTTCTCTGTGACATTCTTACTGGATGTTGGACCTATTTAAAGCCAGGATATTTGCAAACCCCTCTACTCCCCTACAATGCCTGCACGGTGTGCACACCTACGCGTGGTGGAGGTGACGCTTGCAGCAGTCGGTTCATCTCTCATAGGCTCCAAAGAACTCATGGAGGCAGTGAGGGGATCAGTGCCCAAAAAGATAAAGAGCAGGAAAATATATCCAATCTCCAGGGCAGCAAGAAATAGCTTGGCTCATAGCGGAAAGTGTGACTTTGATCCATTTCACTGCAGGGTGGCTTAGGAAGTGATGTTTGCATTTGTAACTGAGGAGTAAGGCAATTGATGCACAATGGACTAGTTACGTTTCATTTTTGCTGCAGTTGGGTTTTGACTATGTATCAAAAAGTAAAGTAAAACAAAGTTCCTTTTCTTTACACCCCCAACCCCCCAGCACTGCAACTCAAGTTCAATAAAAGAGGCCATGCTGTGAATGCAAAAAGCAGTGGGTGGGCGAGGTGTAACCAGCTGCTGACTGGCAAGCTACAGGGTTATGGATTGGCTGTGAGAATGTACATAACTGCACCCCCTGCAATATCATCTCCTCCCACTGCAGTGCAAGCAGGCTCAGCCTACCTGAGAGTGACAACTCTGCTCTGAATTCAGGAGCAGTGCAGCATAAGGGCTCATGTACACTGCAGCTCCTAAACTGACGTTCAGGAGCTTTTCTGCGTTTTTTATCAGCAGCTCCTGAACTCTCCCTAATGTTTTCCTAGGTGTCCATGTACACATCGTCGTTTACAGGCACTTGAGTTTACAGTTGTTTTTTTTTTAACGCACCAAACTTGCATTCAGGAGTAGATTTTACCGGCATTTCAAATGCCAAACGCTTGTAAACGCGGTTAACTGCATTTATAAGCGTTTGCGTTTAGAAACGTTTTTTTTAACTGTTCCATGTCCAGATGCTGTCCAGAGCCTTTTTTCATCATCAGAAATGCATGCAAAGTGTTTTCCATGTATTCAAATGGACCTAGTACAGGGCTTGAAAAAGCCGCTCGCCAAATGCGAAGAGAAATTCCTCTGTGGCGAGCGGTGAGCACAGATGAAGCTTGGAGCGACTGCACCTGCGCTCCAAGCCTCATTGTGAAGACGCGTTCCGGTTTACGGTTTACGGCTTCTGCGGCACCGCCTGCCGAGGGGACAAGTGCAGGAGAGGTCCGCTCTCCTCCGCTGAGAGGAGACACCCTCTCCACCGCTGCGGGGGACTCGGGGGGACAGTAAGTACTGTACACAACATGTCATATCATTATAATGGAGTACAGGGGAGCTGGGATATACATTACTGAGTACAGTTTTATATTTCGGACTATTTATTCTGAAAAAAAATTTAATTTCATAAGCTTTAAGGGGGTGTGGTTGGGGGCGGGGTGGGGTTGGGGGCGGACCTGGGCAAGGTTGGGTGGGGCAGCTGGTGGCGAGTAAGTTTTGTGACCGGCTAGTAGGTCTGGACTCGCAATTTTAACCCCTGACCTAGTACACCAACGCAGTCAGTTCCAGGTTTTGCGTGAAGGAAAAAAAATGGTAGAACGCGCCGTATTATGCTCATGATGGGATCCATAGTGAAAACAACCAGAAAAGACAGGTCATCTCAACACATACTGCTCTCTATGCTTCTGCTCTCTTTATTCCTCTCAAAATGTCTGAAATAGTTAATTATTTACTATTTTTCAGTGCATTCTGGGCATTTGGGAAGGTCTCCTGAGGTTATCTTTTAAAAACTTGCATTAACGCAAACGCGCATAAATGCGGTATGCAAGCATGGTAATCTGCGTTTTTTAACCTACGTTTTCCAGCAGTTTCTATTGGTCAAAAGAGTTTTCCAAACGCCCCGTGTACATGAGCCCTAATTGTCACCCCTTCACAGAAAGCTGCATTAGGTGGACTTCATTGGCAGGACCAACAGGTATCCATGAGACTTTGCTGGGGGACTGAGAGAAAACTGTAAGTTCAGATGCACTTTCAATTTGAGTTTTACAGCATTTTTTTTATAAGAAACCATACTTGTAGTTTTCATACATTATTTACTGTGGTATTGTTTCTAATTTCAATTTGCATTGGTAGGTTTTTTGTCGATCTCTACCTGACCCGAGACTGCCACTTCCTCACCATCAACAGTAACAGTAAAACCACCTCTGAGGTCTGGCTAGTAGACTGTAATTGTCCTCTTCAGTCCCCTATGCTGGTACAGCAACGAGTTCCGGGCATAATTTACCACGTGGAACACAGCAATGGGTATCTTTATATTCTGACAACTCATGGAGAGCCTGCCGAGTACAAGGTATGCAGTACTACTTTCATAGATCTAGAAGAATTGCAATTGGATTAACCACTTCATGTCCGGACACTTTTACCCCCTTCCTGTCCAGGCCAATTTTCAGCTTTCAGTGCTATCACACTTTGAGTGACAATTGCGCGGTCATGCAACACTGTACCCATATGAATTTTGTAGCATTTTTTTTTGAGACAGATAAAGCTTTATTTTGGTGGTATTTATTCACCACTGGGATTTTTATTTTTTTGCTATGTAAATGAAAAAGTCCAAAATTTTTGAAAAAAAGTATTTTTCTTATAGAATTTTGTAAATAATATTTCATCATAAATCTTGGCCAAAATGTATTCCGTTTATCTTTTTAGTAAAAAAAAAAAAAATAATAACCCAAATTAGTTTATAACCAAAAATTATCATTTTTAAAAAAATTTTTTACATTTTTTTTTTTTTTTATATTATTAGTTATTTTTTTTTTTTTTTTTACATACTGTCACCCTAGCAGTACAGTGTCACCATGGTGACACTGTACTACTTGTGGGGGGTGATGAAGATTTTTTTTTTTACATTGATTGCTTTTACACCCATAAAGGCTGTAAAAGCAATAATTTCTCCATTTTTGGAAAGGGTCAGGGACTTTTTTAACGTAAAAAGTTGCGTTTTTGGTTCTAAAGACTTCAATGGAAATGCTGCATAAAAGCATGTATTGCGTTTTTGCCACGTTTTTGATGTGTTTTTTATGCTTTTTGTGTTTTAAAATCTGCCCTAGCAACAAGGAAAATAAAAAATGAAGAAATGCAAAACGCATCAAAAACGCGTAAAAACCGCAGGTGCAAAAACGCAGCACAAAACGCAATGCAGAAACGGCTCAAATGCAACCCTGCATAGGTGTGAACCTAGCCTTAGGGAGATTCATCCTCTCTATTTGTCCTGTGACGTTTACCGCCAACAGTGAAAGAAAATCCCACATTTTAGGTTGTCATCAAAAGAGGAATAGAGGGGGGATTTTCTAATGAGGACACTAGTTCTGCTGACCTCAGTGACAACTATGGATTCCCTAACTTTGGATGGATTTCCTGTTCTGACCATGGGACAGGAAGTGAAGGGAAATCTCCTCAATAGGACACAAATGGCAAAAAAACTTGCTCTGTCCAAAATTTAAAAAAAGTGTTTTGCCTACAGTTCTGCTTTAAATGCAGCCTTTGGGAAGGCTGGGATCCTCTTGTGGTAAAGCTTTCAAATTACTTGAACTGGACATACATGGATACATTTGTTTTTATAAGCCAGAAGGCTGATTAAAGAAAACTAAACGGATTCCCCTATCTGCACAATCGAGGTGGATGGAGAAATCCCTTCTGCTGTGCTACTGTATTCCGATAGCAGGGACAACTCCTCCGTCAGAATGCACTGATCTGTCCTACAGCCAATTGGCTGCAGCTCTGATTGAAGGAAAATTGGCCAACCAGCTGGTTCAAGACAAGTCGATCATTAAATTGACTTCTCTGGAACAGGAATGGCCATTGATGGATCGAAATTCGTCCAGTCACTGCTGAACCAGCGAATTTCAATCCATCTATGACAGCTTTAAAGTGATGCTAAAGTCTTGTTTTTTGGTTTTTATAACAAACATGTCATACTTTACTGCTCTGTGTAGTGGTTTTGCACAGATCAGCCATGATCCTCCTCTTCTTGGGTCCCCAACCAGCACTCCTGGCCCCTCCCTCTTGTGGGGTGCCCCCACAGCAAGGAGCTTGCTATGGGGGCACCCAAGCAGGTGTGCTCCCGAGCAGCTCTACGTGTCCATTCACACACAGAGCCACCCCTCCCTCTCCTAATTGGCTCCCACTGCTGCCTCAGCCAAACAGGGGTGTGAATTCCCAGAGAATCGAGGCTCTCTTTGACATTGCTGAATCGGGATGGGGCTCAGATAAGTGTTGGGGGTCTGCTACACACAGAAGATTTTTTTTACCTTCCTTAGAATGCATGAAGGTAAAATAAACCTTGAGCCTTTAAATGATAAGTTAACCTTTTTGATAAAAATAATAAGTGAACATTTTTTTGCAGGTAAAAAAATGTGCATTTATTATTTTGTCTGCAGGAGCCTGGAAACCATTGCACCAGCGATCAGTAGATCGCAGATGCCATGCAGGTCTCCTGCAGACCTGTCAGAATATCTGCGTGCCGTACGATATGTACTGTCAAGCAGATATACTGACAGGAACCTTCAATGAACTACCACGGCGCTCCACAGTGCCATGATAGTTCACTGAAAACTACAAGCCGACAGCCGCTAAGGCCGCTGGGACTTGTAGGCACTCAATCACAGAACTCTGAATGAGTGACGTGGCTGTGTGGGCGGAGCCCCACATGGCCACACTGTTTTCAAATCTGACAGGTAGTATGGGAAAACTTCTCCCCGTACTATCTGTCAGAGGGACGGAGGGGGGGGGGGGGCGGCAGACGCAGCTGCAGCTATGGGAACATGTTGCATATTCCACCCTAAAAATGTGTGGAACATGTAACATGTTCCCAAAGGTGAACTTATCCTTTAAAACCACTTTAATTGTATGTAAGCAACAGATATCTCTGTGTTTAAATATAAATGATCTCTGTTAAAAAAAAAATAGGCACTGACAGTTCTCTACTTTTTGGTACAGCTAATGAAGGCTCCTGTCAATAGCTCTATAAATCATTGGAAGCCAATTTATCATGTAAAGCCACATTCTCGATTGGTGGACGTGGAAATAATAAAGGATCATTGTGTTATATTCTTGAAACGACACAATCAGCTTCATATGGAAGTGACTTCCTTATCCAGCGAATTGCTTTACCACTCTGTGAAGGTAAGTTTAGCCTTTGGGGTTCCCAAATGTGCAGCTATTGAGAAGTCCTTGTGCTTAAGATATAACTGCATCTTGCTGATAAATGCAACAAATAGCTGCTGGGTGGCTCCACATTCCAAATCTGGACTGCAGACAAACAGCTAAATACATAACAATCAGGGGCGGACTGACAACTCATGGGGCCCCCGGGAAATAGGGGATCATGGGGCCCCTGTGAACTTGCCCAAACTCAAAAAAGCCTATGAAAAAGGTATCAGGGGCATCTCATGGGGCCCCCTACTGACCCCGGGCCCTCGGGCAGTGACCGAGTTTCCAAATGGTCAGTCCGCCCCTGATAACAATTATATAATTTGATTAGAATTTACTGTCCATCCAGTCCAGAGACGTACACTGATCTTCCACACAAACCTGGCAGGACAGGAGATTTGTTTTTTTCTCTCCTACTTTTCCGTAACATTTAAAGATCTTACACTTCCCCCACCCTGTTACTAGATGGTGAAAGGAGAAGTAGCAGACTGAAAAACTCAGCTCTGTCACTTTCCTCTTCCCTTTTATCAGCATGACCCTTGTTTGTACATGAGCACTTCAGCACCGTGGGTTGGCTCATTTTGCTGCTTCTTCCTCTCCCAGTTCAAGCTCTGCTGTACAGGGACTGCAAGGGGTAATACTAAGTCAAATACAGGTACAATGTAATGTTTGCAATAAAAACATATGTAATTATGTACTAATGAATAAAAGGATGTGTCTTTTATATTTGACTGGTGATTAGCGTTAACCACCTCTGTACCTCTATATTAACCTTCTGGCTGATTATGTCAATATTTTTGAATGTCAAAGCGTTACATTGTTTTGCATGAAAATTTGTTGTTTTATATTGTAGGCTTTGTAACTCTTAGGAATAACTTACTTAAATCTGTCCAAACAAGAGTCTAGTAAACATCCCGGGTATGATAAAGTTTGAAACACAAAATCATAAATTCTAATATAATAAATATTATATATGATTATAAAAAATAATAATATAATAATAAATTTAATTCAATAATGTAGTCAAACCAAAAACACTGAAATTTGAAATAGAGCACCAAGTTCGCACATCACTGAGCTCAGTTGCAGAATCGTCGCTGTCGTCACTTTCAGTGTCTGATGACAAATTTCCTCATGAATCTCTATCGCAAAATTCTGCAAATGATTCTAATTCACTCTCGCTGTTCTCTAGCCGGTCTAAAACTGCTTTTGACCTAAAGGGACGCTTTTTGGACGCCATGGACATTTCTCAAGTTTCCAGGCAGAAAGAACGGTGAAAGTGCAGGCAGGGCACAGGACAAAGCACTCGGGACAACATTTAGGTGAAATGGTTTGATACAGTAATGTAATCCTAACAGATTACAATGTATTGTGTGTATATCATGTTCCGCCCCCCTGCGTTGTGATGCTAGGAGGGAAGGGAAGACTGATGCCGGCATCAGCTGGAGGACATAGCAGGAGGACTTCGGGGGATCGCAGGACAAGGTAAATTACACTACAGTGTAATCCCGAGTGTGGCTCAGGGTTACCGCCTTTGGAATTGAAAATTAACCCCAAGCCACACTCCGCTAGGAAGGTTAAAAAAAAATGGCGTAGAGTTGGATGTGTGTTTCTGAATTGTCAACTATAAACAGCGCATCAAAAACACACTCAAGTGGCCAGTGTGCCCTTGAATGGCTTTTATCTGAGTTGGACAGTTTGGATCACAGTACAGAGCCAGTCAAGAGTGGCTTTGTACTTGAAAACTGAAAAATAGCCTGGTAGTGAATGGGTATTGGGGTATGAAGGATGGTACTCAAGTAGTTGCCTAATGTTGGTGGTCTGTAATCCTTAAAGCACATAGTGCCATGTATTTTCATATGTGGCTGATTTCCACAGCTCTGGTTGGTAGACAGTTGACTAATTTTTTAAAGTGATTGTAAACCTCTAAAATGAAAAATGAACAGAGCATAACCCTGTATATTATGTACTTGCCTCAATTCAAAGCACAGAGTGTGGTTTTTGGCTGATCTCTCTTCCCTCTGCTATCTAGATGAGTCTTTTCTGACAGGTTAGAGAGATGCCCCTCCAGTACATATAAGGTGAATGACTGCCTCAGTTGTGCACATTTCCCTATGAAACTGTGTAGCAGATCCTTTCCCTCTACTCAGGTCTCAGATTACACTCAGCTCTCCTCTGGTGCTGTACAGTGTGTGACATCGGCTCCCCTACCCCTGCTTTTTATACCTGAGAAAAAGCCTTTGATCTGTGTGGTTTAGAAGGCTGTAGAGGAGAGAGGGCTGCAGATTAAAGCAGCAGTAAATAGTGATTGGTGACTTGTACCTACAGGTAAGCTTATAATAAAACTTACCAGTATGTACAAGGAATATCTCCCAAATGTGCACCTTTCAAGAGGTATTCACTATCTCTGCACCCGGTGACATCACTGGCACCTTCGCAGTGGCCTCTAAAAGGACAGCATACTGAGTATGTCGTCCCTTCAGAGTGCTGTGCCGCGGTCAAGGCTCCCATGCACATTTAAATGACTGGAGCCTGTAAGGAAGACCGGGTGAGGATGGAAGGCCGGGTGAGGATGGAAGACCAGGTGAGGATGGAAGGCCGGGTGAGGATGGAAGGCCAGGTGAGGATGGAAGGCCGGGTGAGGATGGAAGAGTGGGTGAGGATGGAAGGCTGGGTGAGGATGGAAGAGTGGGTGAGGATGGAAGCCCTGTCAGCAGTTACAGTGGCCAGCAGTTACTGGAGGGCTTCTATTTAAGGTATTTCATAATGTGGTGTTTGTGATGCATATTAGCACATTATGCACTTAACTTGCAAGGGAGAATTTTTTGTTTTTTTTCTCCAGACTTTAGTACCACTTTAACAGGTACAATTTATGTAGGAGGATTTGTTTCATCTCTGTGTATCACCTGAGGCCAATCACTTCACTGGGTATATGTAAGGGTGAACAACCACTTTAAGGTGGCCAAACATAACCACTTGCCACCTGGGAGGTTTTACCCCCTTCATGACCAGGCCATTTTTTGCTATTCAGCACTGTGCTAATTTAACTGGTAATTGTGTGGTCATGCAACGCTGTACCCAAATGAAATTTATGTCATTTTGTTCACACAAATATAAATTTATTTTGTTAGTATTTGATTACCACTGGGTTTTTAATTTATTTTTTTTATATAAATTAAAAAAGACCAAAACTTTTGAAAAAAAAATTTTTTTTTTCCTATAAAACATATCCAGTAAAAAAATTAATTTCTTCATGCATTTTAGGCCAAAATGTATTCTACATGTTTTTAGTTAAAAAAAAAAAAAATATCCCAATAAGTGCATATTGTTTGGTTTGTGTGAAAGTTATAGGGGTTGATTTACTAAAGAAAAATAGGCTGTGCACTGCAGGTGCATTTGCTTTAGATCTGAGGGGAAGTTCTGAAATGAGGCAAAGCTCTGCTGATTTCTTTCATCCAATCATGTGCAAGCAAAAATGCTATTTTTTTTATTTTTCCTTGCATGTTTCCATCAGATCTAGAGCAACTGCATTTGGAGTGCACTTGCAGTGCACAGCCTATTTACCTTTAATAAATCAACCCCATAGTCTCTACAAACTATGATATATACTATATTGCCAAAAGTATTGGTCCAGCCCTCCAAATCATTGGATTCAGGTGTCCCAATCACCTTCATGGACACAGGTGTATAGAATCAAGCACCTAGGCATGCAGACTGCTTCTACAAACATTTGTAAAAGAATGGGTCGCTCTCAGGAGCTCAGTGACTCCAAGCGTGGTACCATGATAGGTTGTCACCTGTGCAATAAGTCCATCCATGACATTTCCTGGCTACTAAATATTCCACGCTCAACTGTTAGTGGGATTATAACAAAGTGGAAGCAACTGGGAACAACAGCAACTCAGCCACCAAGTGGTAGGCCACGTAAAATGACAGAGCGGGGTCAGTGCACAGTGCGCAGAAGTCGCCAACTGTCTGCAGAGTCAATAGCAAAAGACCTCCAAACTTCGTGTGGCCTTCAGATTAGCACAACAACAGTGTGCATAGAGAGCTTCATGGAATGGGTTTCTATGGCCGAGCAGCTGCATCCAAGCCTGACATCACCAAGTGCAATGCAAAGCATCTAATGCAGTGGTGTAAAGCACGCCACAGTGGAGTCGTGTTCTCTGGAGTGATGAATCACGGTTCTCTGTCTGGCAATCTGATGGACATGTCTGGGTTTGGCGGTTGCCAGGAGAACGGTACTTACCTGACTGCATTGTGCCAAGTGTAAAGTTTGGTGGAGGGGGGATTATGATGTGGGGTTGTTTTTCAGGGGTTGGGTTTGGCCCCTTAGTTCCAGTGAAGGGAACTCTTAAGGCATCAGCATACCAAGACATTTTGGACAATTTCATGCTCCCAACTTTATGGGAAGTTTGGGGATGGCCCCTTCCTGTTACATCATGACTGCACACCAGTGCACAAAGCAAGGTCAATAAAGACATAAAGGAGCAAGTTTGGGGTGTAGGAACTTGACTGGCCTGCACAGAGTCCTGACCTCAACCCCAAAGGAACATCTTTGGGATGAATTAGTGGAGCAGAGACTGCAAGCCAGTCATTCTTGTCCGACATCAGTGCCTGTCCTCACAAGTGCGCTTCTGAAAGAATGGTCCAACATTCCCATAGACACTCCTAAACCTTGTGGAAAACCTTCCCAGAAGAGTTGAAGCTGTTATAGCTTGGGTGGGCCAACTCAATATTGAACCAAACAGACTAAGACTGGGATGCCATGTGCGTGTAAAGGCAGGCCAACCAATACTTTTGGCAATATAGTGTTTATATATATTCATAAACACTATATATATATAAAACTATGATATATATAGTGGAATTTTTATTTATTTGTTTTTTTCTATACTAGTAAACGACTAACTAACTGACACTGACATCACCAGTGACACTAATACAGTGATCAGTGGTAATATTATACACTG